GTGTGTGTGTGTGTGTGTGTGTGTGTGTGTGTGTCCAGAACCAGCTAGGGAGATAGTTTAGTGGTCTAAGTGCCTGCCTGGCAAGTGTAAGGACCTTAGTTTGATTCTCTGTTCTGCATGCCGTGCTGGCCCCTGAAACTGGCTGTGGTGGCATATGCCTATAATCCCAGCACTGAGGAGGCTGAAACAAGAGGATCACTATGAGTCTGAACTGGGTAGCAAGACCCTGTATCAAATAAATAAATAAATAAATAAATAAATAAATAAGTTTTTTAAAATGTCAAATTATGTCCAGCTAACCTAGAAAAAAATTTGGCATTTCCTTAAGATGTTCTAAGATTAGACTGTAGTGATGGTTTTACAATTCTGCAAGGATACTAAAATGCATACCTTAACTAGATAAATTGTATGGTAAATGAATTATATCTAAATAAAGTTGCAGAAATATGAAACTAGAGCTACCATGATCACAAGGAACCTTCTACATTATTAGTGAAAATGTAAACTAGTACAACCACCATGGCATTCTGTATAGAGACTCCTCAAAAAATTGAAACTAGAAATTCCCTTCAATCCAGCTATTTACTTTCTAGGTTATCTTCCTAGAAAGAGTTAAAGATAGCATATTACAGTGATCCATGCATACCCATGTTTATAACAGCATAACTCATAATAGCTAAATTTTCGAAGTTGCCTATATGCCCATCAATAGATGAAAGGATAAAGAGAGTGTGATAATGATAAGTATACACAATAGAGTACTACTCTTGTAGTACTTGTAGTAATTTATCTTGCCATAAAGGAAGATAAATTTGAAACAATAATGTTAAATGAAATAAAGCTTAAATACAACATGGTTTTCCTAAAATGAGAAAATCTAATTATAAATGAATCAGAGAATAAAATGAAAGATAATAGGAAATGGAAAACTTTTGCAAAAGGGAAGGGGACCAGGAGATGGAAGAAGGGGTGAGGGAAGGAAAGAGAAAGGAAATGTAAAAAGAATTAAGATGTGTTATGTACAGGTATCAATGGCCCATGATGAATGTAATCATTATGAACTGGAAACATACACTAATAAAAATGTTGTTTCCGTTTTTACTAAGGTATTTGGATTAACATAAGGGCAGAGGATTATTTTGCTGAATTCACACACCTACTATATTTAAATGGCAATGGAATATCCATCTCTGACAAAACTAAACAAAAAAAGGGGATACAAAGGAAGGACCATTTTGTATCTGTATATGCAGAATAGTTAGGATAGATATCCAGTTACTTTCGCTTAATTCAATGAGAAGAAAGATTTGCACTAATAGTGTCTGGACAGGATATCAGGTCAGCATCTCGTACTATGAATAATCACTAAGAAGATAACAATATGCAGAGAGAGAGAGAGAGAGAGAGAGAGAGAGAGAGAGAGAGAGAGAGAAACCCAAAGTACAAATATAGAATAAAATGAAGGATTCATAATAGGAAA